GAGGCACCCCCTTTCGTACAATAGCAATCAAATCTCATTCCCTTAATTTGCAATCATCAAAATTTAATATTTAAACGTAGACGAAATGAAAATACATATGAATCATTATATATTGTTTCGTAAAATTACATTTAACGTTTGAATTAATTCGCCGAATGTAATTCGCAGGGTACCGCAACTGCATATTACATGGTTGTTATATCTTCTTGACCAGTATATACATTCGCATAGATGGCCGGACCGGGGATCCTTTGATATCCTGGTCAGACGTCAGACATGTGACAGCTCTGACAATACCGGAGATCCCCGCGTCACTGATTGTCACTTGTTTCTTGCCATTTCTCTTTCTCTCTTCGATTTCGGCCACTGCGATTCCGCGCAGGTTCTCTCCACGTCGCCACGTTCGATGCTGCTTTCTCGTATTTCAAATTCAAATACGGGAAATCGCAAGGCGGACCGTAACCCTACGCCTTGAGAACGCGAATCCTGCTGACCATTCGGGTATCGATTTGAAATACCTCATGCGAAACCCTGGATGCAGGAGAAAAATGATCATGTTGCACTTACGCGTGTACTAAGGGAGTTAATAAGAACGAGGATCAGCCTTTGACGAGGATAGGAGGAGGTGGTGAATGAAGGAGAGGTGGATAGAGCATAATGTACTTCATTGTCGAATCACTTCCGGGGCTTGACCTACAGTAACGCCCTAAAGACCAGTTCGCAATGGACAATGTCTATGGATAATAGGACACCAATGTGTTCTATTGTATGTATAAACGGCGGACGCGCGGATTATCTAAAATGCTATACCTCAAGATGGACCAAGAATTTAATAATATCGACATAATGCGATTCTGCGATCACACTCACATTTTTCCTTCATCTTATAAACGAAATATATATCAATCAATGTTTATGATTCCATAAAGTACGGTAACTTATAAAAAAATTTCAATGTGATAATTATGCCACAAATTAAAAAATATTAATATAAATGTATCATTTTTATAACAGAAGAAAGAATCATTAACTATATAGATTTTCTGCGTAATTTCATCTTTAATTTTCTAAATATTAATTTAAGCAATTAGAAACTATAGTGCAACATATATATATATATATATATATATATATATATATCTCAATATGTTTGGTTTGTATCAATATGACATCGTCATATATCGCACATCAACCACGGAATGGAACTCGTGCGGTTGACGATGGCACGTTTCATCGAGGATCTCCATTAATATAATTTGTCAGTTGCATACGTCGCTAACAGCGAAGTTTTCCGACCGATTTGCCAAAAAAGTGCCCCGTATGGGCGACGAGGCGCGTGCGGCTGCTTCAACATGAAAAACAAGCGGTACTCCGGTCCTCCTTTTCTCCCACGTGGTCCGAAAGGCGAACGATCTCCAATCTAAGTCAAGAGACCTCGAGAGGGGTTGCTGGCAACCGCGTGGAAAAAACGCCGCTGGTTTCAATATGTAGACGAAGAAAAGTGAGAAGGAAAAACTGCTGAAAAGGGGGGGGCTGAATATGCGCGAGTAGCCGAAAGAGTAGGAGAACCTCGTAGGCAGAAATTCAAAGTCCCACATGAATGATTCTCAGTGTAACATACGAGAAAGAAATTTTTTTTGATGTCTCAATCCACGCTGTATAACACAAAGTTAATAAGAGATCCATTCATCTCAATCAAATACGATTAGCAATCATTGCAATGTTATATCAATTTAACTAGTTTATTTTATAACTACGCATAATAAATATATATTGCATTTAATAGTGTGATATACTTATTAAATATGCAATAATAAACCTATAATAAATAAGATCTTAAAAATTTACAACAAAATTTTATGTAAATCATAATTTATAAACCATTATTTATATCTAATATTCATTACTCTAGTAATGAGTTGATTTCTATTAAA